GTTAACCTCATTAGAACGGACGCAAGCTGAAAGTCACAACGTTCGACCTGTCTCACAATCACCCAGTTAATCGCCTTCTTTTGGAGCGACACCCCATCAGTCGCCATCTGACGGACGATGAGTTCACTCAGTCCGTAGACCTTTTCCGCTACAACACCACAACAAGCGACATCAAGCAGTTCGTCGAGGTTCGATTCGGAAAGCATATTACCAGCGATGATGTCCGCAATGTTCGTCGTAAACTGAGACCTGGCGTTGAGTGTAAGTTTATTTTGATAGTTTTTATTTCCTGCAGTAAAATTGCATCAGGTTATCAAGTCTATGGAAGAAAACGGAGTTGCGCGAATTATTTCTGAGGAAGCCTTGTGCACACACGTATTATTCACTCGGCATCAACAAATAGAACTTTTCCGCCGATTCTCGCATGTCGTTTGTGTAGACGCTACTCATGGCACTAACCGTTTGAAGTAAGAATTGATAGAGGGTTTACTTGTTCTCGCAGCTTCAAACTATACCAGTTTTTAATAACTGACGGTATGGGGTATGGCCGGCCAATATTTTATGCTTTTCTGCGTCGGGAGGATTACGCATCATTGCTTACATTGTTCGAAGCGTTTCGGGATATCATGGGTCATGATATTCCCGTCCGCACAATAATGATGGACAAAATGGCCGCTCAAATACGTGCGGCGCGCGCCGTTTTTCAATGCGACATTTTGTTGTGTTGCTTCCACATCCGGCAGGCCATCAGGAAGCATGTAAGTGATAAATCTTCGTTTCATTCTGTAGACAAACATTAACCGGTCGCGTTATCTGTTTCATTGCATGGCAACTTCTGACACGGTGATGGAGTAAAATCTCTTTATAAATGTAAAATTCTTGTGTTAGATTTCAACAAGATTTGAAGCTCCTTCAAAGAACAGACCCCCACTTTGTGCGCTACCTTACGTTGTACTGGTTGTACATAAAACGCTCGTGGGCGAAACACGCACAAGCTGGACTGGTGCATTTTGGCAATACAACGAACAACCGAGTTGAGAATGTCAACTTGCGATTGAAGAAAGTTACCCATGCATCGGATGGCCTTGTTGCAGCCGTTCGCGAAGTCTGGGCACATTCGGAAGTTCTCCTGAAAGAGTTCCAGATGCATGCCGCGTTTTTCTGTGACAGGCGCCAGCTACTAGAAGGCAGCGCATATGTTCATCGCGTAGTTTGCCTCTTACCTACGTACGCGTGCAACTTAGTGATGCGCCATTCAGCACAACCCATGTTACAAGCAGTTTACTCGGACCTTGGAGATGGAGTGGTATGTGAATAAAAATTTCTGACGCATTCAGTTTGAAATATCGCACCAAGGAAACCGCTTCACCATCGATTGCTCCTTGGGAACATGTACCTGTCCTTTTTATGAAACCATGTGGCTTCCGTGTGTGCATTTAATGACGGCATACAAGCAGCACGCGTATCCGACAAGTAAGCCGTTTCTGATATGTGCATCCATTTGCAGGCCAAATACCTATTCGCCTCCGCTGGCTGGCGGACTATAACCTGCCCACAGAGTCCATGACGTTGCGGACGTTGAAAGTCCCCGTTACGAAACCATCTACGTCTAAAATTGCACATCTTGTACATCGTCTGAGAAGTGCTGAAGAGGTTAATCCATCCGGATTTTCGGTACTGTATCAAGAGCTATTGCGAAGGACTAACGAAGTAATTGGTGATTCAACAAACTTTCCACGTGCAAAGAAACAACCGCGTTTGCCGAAAATTATGGCGCCCACAGGTTTATACACCACTTAAAACAGCTACATAACAAACCATCCGTGTCTTACAATCACAGCGCGCGGCGTTGTAATTGGAACACACAAGGCACGATGAATGACACCCAGGCCAAACGTAGCACAGCTAACAAAATAGTGAAGGACATATACAGTTGGGGAAGAAAGGCATTGCCGTGGGAACTTACCGATTGCAAGCGGTTTCTATTTGCAGAGTTCATTCATGCGGTATTCCATTACTATTTCTGTGTATCTCTAAAGAAAAGTAATGTAAACAACGTGAAACGGAACTTACCCACAGCAACGCGCACATGTATATGCCGCTTCCCCATGGTATGAAGCGCAGGTTTGATGAAACCAACGCAAGCAAACATCACAACTTATCCACTCGACGATCTCAGAGCTCACGCACGCGTCCTCTTCCTCCCACACAAAGAGCAAACCGCACTGTCCGCTTCCTTTTCAGCGGTGCCTCTCTTTGTACCCCATGTGTATGTGCGGTGGCGGGCAGATGTCCTTCTTTTAAGCGTCATAAATGTCAACTCCCGTGAAGTCATGCTGCCTTCCACCACCTCAACTGCACGGGTTAGCAAAGGCGACTTCCGCCTGCGACGCCTGCGTTCGGCGCAAGGAGACTGGGAAACACCAGCCACCGGGGACACCAATGTGATCCCTTCGCTGACTTCCCTCTCCGGTGAATTCATGCCGTCACGCGTACCATTGCCCGCCGTCACGTGGGTAGCTGCAGCGGAGGATGACGGCTCCATTCCCTGGAAAGTAGGCAGGTTTTCCGAGGATAACAGTTGCAGCTGCTGCAACTGCGATGACCGCGCGTAAAGCTGAACATCATTGTGGCTTGTGAGCAGCTCCCGCACGCATGCGACCACACCCATGGTGCGCTGGAACTCCTCCGTGCCCATGCTCAGAATCTGCGTTTCCAGAGACGCAAACATATCCCGAGTGATGCGAATTTTCGCCGCCCGATCAAGAACTACATCACTGGGGCATCTCACCGGAGCCACCGTCAACGTCCCTTCCGTATCCTCCGAAACCATCGGCGCACATGTGCTTATCGATGGCAATACCCAACGGCAACCACGAAGCACATCCTCCTCCTGGTAGGCGTGCAGGCTCGCAACGTGTATTATGTGCGCACATGGAATGCGCCACTGCCGATTAAATCTGCATCCACAAGCGCAGCCATTTCCGATGACAACACGTTGCATACCAATGCGCTCGTCCTCCACCAGCCAACAACCAACGCCTTCGTTGACGCTGCGAATACGAACACGAACACTGTGCCGCGCGTACTGCCGCCGGGCGTAAGACGAGAGCCTGCGCAATATAACGTCCCCAACGCTGGCTCCGTGCTGAACGTGGCATTCACCAAGTTGATCTCTGCCCAGCAGTGTTTCCCTCTCCTCAATCATGCTACTTGCACGCTGCACTATCACCTGAAACAGGTGAAGTAGCGTTGACCGTTCACTCAAAGTTTCTTTCAGATGCTTGTTCTCATTTTCAATGCGATTGGTACTGTCGCATCCAAATAAAACTACATGGTCCATCAGATGCGCCGCCCAGCTAAGCCGCCATGGAATCCATGTACGACGCAGGTATTGGAAGCATTCTGCGCTCCGCAGAGATATCGCTTCCATAATCCGATGATAATGAGCGCAGTCGTACGTATACAACAATGACCGCAGCATGCTGAAAAGAGCTCTCTTATCTTCAGGGTTACACAGCGGAAGGTGTGAGCAACGCCGCCGCATGTCACGCATAATGTGTACCCGACAGAAAACAATGTTCGCATTGGGGTACGCATTACGGAACGCGTTCACTTGCGCCGCGCACTTGTCCATCACCAACGTCCGAGCACCGGCAACCGAGGGGGCCAATTCCAACATACCTCTCACTGCCTCCTCGTAAGCTACCTCCGTCTCATTAGGCAACAGGGCATAAAAGAAGCTCATACCGAGGCCGCTGACATCCACAAACATGCAATGCCACAGGATGTAGCCTCCGTAATTGATCTGATACGTGGAGTCCGCCAAAATTACCTCCCCGTACTGGCCCACCAATTCAAGCATGCGCGAGGGTACGAAAAATAGGTAACGAATCTGATTACCCGCATGCAGAATTTTCACTTCACCATTTCTTTGCAACATTTGAGTCACCTCCTCCACCTCTGTGACACAGGCCTTACGATGACGCCGCCGCATAACATACAAATCCCTCCTTGTTAAACGAATGTCATACTGCTGCCGCACAAAGGCCCGCATCTCCTGGGTCCGACGAAAGGTTCTCATTAAGTTAAGCACCAGCCTCTCCTGCTCTTCCGATAGCCTCCGATTACACGCATACAACCAAGGCTTCCCAACTTGGAAGCTGTGCGAATGCCACAGATACGCATTCCCAATTTCGTAACATTCGCCCTTATACGTCACAGAAAAACGCGCAGGGCAATCGTAACATCGGTACCTATAGTAATCTTATCATGAGGCAATTGCAATGCACTTACCGCTTTCCAGTGACATTACTGCGCCTCCCATGCACACATAGAAACAGAATATATCGGTATGGGCATCCATCCGGTAGCACCTGTCCAGTCTCCCTTTCGTACGCCTTCGCAGATTGCACGTTACGACGAACAAAGGAAGTCGCCGTTTTAATCTGAAACTCTTTCATATCCTTCTCCACCGATGCGAAGTCCAGATAAGGACCCTTCAACAAACGTCGGAATGCCAGCGAGTCATCCACCATGGCTGCTACGCGTGAGGCGGGAAAATGATTAACCATCGTAACGCATTTAAACCACTTAGTAAATTGATTTCCAATTGAGGTCGTAGGACTTTAGCAAGCGTACTCAATCATTAAGAAACAACACTATGAGTTCAATGTCAGGCAAATCGACATCACATGACCTGCCACCCTATGTACCGGGATAACACTGCCGAAGGAGCGCTATTTTCAAGTGGCGGATGGGACGCTCTCGACCGGAGTGGTTTCCTGCTATCTTGGTTTTCATTGTTTGTTTCCTGATGTTTTTAACTGTATTTCGCTCGTAACGTTTTTGTGCACGTCCACTCATCTCTGGCGTACGCCTGGACTCCGTGCATCCGCTCCTGCTTCGTGAATCTGTCGACCTGATGTCTCCCATGCTTTTCGCCCTGGTTTACGGTATCTTTATCAGGAATTTACACCTCAATTTGCATCCCAACTCTCATGATGGCCGGCAAAATATTTTCGCCTTCACAAGTGCGGTCACCCTTTCGGAATTCCTTATCCGTACTCATGTCTTCCTCTGACCTATCAACGGAAGTTCATCCCGACACCGCCCCGGCTTTACTTCATGGCCTACCGGCTTGCTTTGTTCATGGGAATCCTAGATTCTCTCCGACACTTTTGGGGCTCAATGGGCCTGACGATCGCGTTCGATCTAAAACTGTTGATTCATATTCACGAATTTCTATGGAGGTCCCAATGAATCTTGGATGTCTCCATAGCTCTGCTGTTGAAGGTGAACTCCAGGACGTTCCGCTTGATTCTTTGAATTCGCCCGAAGTTACTCTACCGAATACCCTTAGCCCTATGACGTCACCGTCATTTTGCAGAACGTTATCCGCACCTTCCTCGTGTACCCTAGAATCGCGATTCTCCTTGATTAGATCTCGAACACATGTGAAGCACAGTTCATCTACTGCTAATGAACATTGCTCGGACATCACTACGAGTGACAGGCACAATAAAACTAGTCTCAATTTACCAAGTCTTGAGGATGGGCTCTCCAGTGGGAGTGATACAGAGAATCTTGGTGACCTGTCTGACACTTGGCCACCCGTTAGAACAGGTGTAGTCAGCTCATGTACTCCGACCTCTTTAAAATCCGCCTCTCTTATCCCGCCCACATCAGTGGCTGCAGACTTTTCACGAGGGTCACTGGTCCATCCTCCTGTGGTTCAGGACATATGGGGAATCATGAACGAGTTGAAGCAAACCCTAGCTGATGACCACGCTAACTTGAATAAACCTGTTTATGCACCAGGCACCCACCCAAACTGCAGTAGATCTGCATGTAATGATCGAAGCTCAGGTTCCACAAGCGCGGATTTTAAAGTGCCCCAGCGTAGCTCTCAACCGGAGGCGTCTTATTCCTCTCCATCTACTGCTACCAATGGTTCGACATTATCGGACAGAGGAACCTGGTAAGGTTTTCCAGTTTTCGTTATCCATTTACTGTGTTTGCGTTTTGATTCAGCTGAAGTCTCACCTTATTACTTACCACAGTTTCAATCGTTACCTGCCCACATGAGCTCCTATAGCACTATGGTTAGCCCAATTTCAGCCGCTTGTACTGATCATTCTATCCAACTATGGTTTTACTGATTTGGCTTTGCCTACCGATTGTGGGTGTATCGTGACGTGATAAATGACAATTTCTTATTCATATATTTTGTATTTAGACGCTTATAAGTGCTAATAGAAGACCTGGCTATATAGCTCAATGATGGATTGGCTACTGTTATGCCATCTGGACATTTCATGTAAACGTTTGTTCGTCCGTCACCTAGCCGCGGTACTTTCTTCGGACTATTTTCATGCTCGATTTGTAGCAGATCTTGGCCCAATGATGCTTACTCATTACGCGATTAATTAGGGGTGTAGATTAATCTCCCAACTGAATTGGTCACGTTAGCGCGCTCACCCGGTTCTTGGCCACTTCAATGGTTGGGTACCCCATACGCATTACGTATCCCCTGAGTTCCTGAACTCAGTCGTTTTCCTTTCCTTGGTTGCCCACTTAGCGATTTGGCGTCATAATCATCATTCTACACATTAGTTAATTGTGTGGAAAACTCCATCTATTGTACTGCAATACAATAGGCTAACGGCAAACAAGAAAAAACAGCAGTAGCAAAGCAAAACACAGGCAATACCATGCTTCGTTATTCCATAGGCGCTGTTACAGCTACTCAGGCAGCTTGATTTGATCCTCATCTAAGGTTAGCGTAGGGAGCGGTCCCTGCCAAACTTGGAAGAAAGCTTTGCTTTTAGGGATGCGAGGCACAGCCCGACATCCAGTATTAGTCAGTCTAGTGCTGCTGCGCACGTACATGGGCTGTCACAGACGAGGGCGAGATCGTCGGCATATTCCAACCCAAGAATCTAATTATCTGGAAACAGTTCCACAATATCCAACCCATGTTCAATGTACGCGGTTCCAATGAATTAGCCAATATCGAGGAAAAAAGGAAGGACAATTGCGGGCATCCTTGTCGCACACTGCTGGAGATAATAACAAGCTGCGTCGGTTAGCAATTATCCCCATTCTGTCCGAGTTGCGTGCGCGTATCGCTTTGACAGTGTTTGTATACTTCTTTGGCACACATTTCATGCTCAAACAGCCCGAGGTCACATGGTTTCTTTGAGTCGAAGGCACATTACTTCTCGAATAACACGATCAAGCCAACAGACAAAGAGGCTAGTTACTTTCGCCCATTGCTGTCTTCGCTGCTTAGCTCATATCTAGCGGCGACCGCATGAGCACTGAACGTGTTCGGCGTTATGTATTTGGGGCAGGAAGATGGAGTAAACTGCTCAGCGCAATTATGTCACACACTAATCTCCGATGGTTGGGTCATTTAGTGCGCATGTCAGTACACCGAATCGCATCGTGCGTTGTTTGCGCGTACGGGGTCTAGGTGGAGGTAGTGGAGGGGGGCTATGCGATGACTTGGTCAAGAGGAATAAAGTCCATCATTTCAAAATTTGCCTCGGTGTTTCCCGACAGCTGGGCTGGGGACCGAAGGACAATGAACACATTTGGTTGTATCCACTTGTTGACGTGGCTAAGGGCGTTGGTGTTTTCCCCCCTCCTGCTTAGCCACCTTTCCAACCACGGTCTCATTTCTGACGCCTGATATAGTTTTGGCGCCACAATAGCTGGCTATTAACTTTCCGGAACCATGCCCATCCGTTACTGGTAGCTCAGCGACGTGCCCATGTGCCGTCTTTTTTCTCATGTACTGTGATACAATAACAGGTTTTTTCCAACCTCTTGCTATCTTGTTTGAAGAATGAGTGCATGAACACTGCTACTGTGAATCACCAATGTGCCCCAGTGGCTATCACAGCGTCAATATGTGGTCAATGCAGCCTCCCTTTCAACGAAACTGTCCTGCTGTTCAAGAATCTGGCTTTTACTGGCGCTAGTCAATCTCTGAAGGACGGCAGACGTAAATAACTTGAAGCCACTGGGATTAGATTGATGCCGCATTCCGAACGTGTGCTCCGTCTCAAGATCAGGATAATTACGGGGCAGCTGAAGTTGGTTGGGATAGTTTCCTGCCTGCGCTTTCATTAGTAGTTTGTGTAAATCTTTTACATCAGATCCATTGGATTTGAAGAGGACAGAAGGAAGATAATGGGATCCTGCGACCTTGTTCAATTTCAGCAGTTTGATCACAAATTCAATCACTGGCCAGCAGCGGGTCTGGTAGTTCAATCCGATTAAATTGCTTTTCAAAATGCTCCGCCTAATATCCCAGGTGTTTTGACAGGTTGTGGATAAGCTGTCTATTATCGTCGCATATAGCCTCGTTAACGCCGGTTATCATGCTCCTCTTTTTCAGTATCAGACGGAGTAAGAGCGATGGTTGTTTCCATCTCCCACGCACAATGAGCTCACCGGGCTTCGCGACCACGTGTTCTTTCACAACCGGAATCTTGTTGGTCAGCATCCAGTAGTTCCAGAGACCTCGTAGGGACCAAACGTCAAGTTGGTTTCAGGTCTAACACACGAAAACATATTTGCTGCTGATATACTCTGGCTTACTCAAGCTCCATACCAGCCCACATAACTTGATTGCCCGAAAAATATCCGCTGGGCAGACAGTTGGAGCGCCCTGAGTGACCGTTTTTATATTCCTGGGACGAATTTTGTCACCTAGAAGCTATTTTCCGGTCCACCCTTAACATTTACCGTGAATGCATTTCTCCTGGTTGTAAATATCAATAATAAGCGGAAACCACTTTCTAAATCTTAACTACTCAGTACTAAAACCGTAAGGCTAAACGGATTTTTCCGTACGTTTGAACGCATTTGTCACAAACGTATCTCATTGAGACGATCAGGTACATTAAAAACGGTCATTCAGCTGCAATCTGTCGGCGATGTGCTGGTTGAAACTAGGATTTTTAAAAATAATAATCACTTCTGGTAAAGATCGGTGGTACTAGCGCTGCATAATAATATTCGATAACATGCCTGGGACATATTACGCCATTAATTTGTTCATTTTTGCCTGTGTGACCAAAAACGTCCAAGTGGGACAGCTGGCCGTCCGGCTGCGCGGACAGGAAAAAACACCTGGCTTCATCAGTTGGCTATTCTCAATGTGCTCACTGAAACGTCGCAACCGTCCGCCGAAACACCAGTGTATTTTTAAATGACAGCATTGTCGATTTCTGTCGCAAAAGTTCGAGCCATTGCAACTGAATCCACTCCACTTAATGGCTCGGATAACGTCTGAACAACTAAACTGAGTGTTACGTTTGATTTTGTCCATCGAGCACTGGATGTGAATGCGCTGCATTGGACGCCACCAAGCTCCCTTTCGTCATCCGTCTGCTGACATTTAATTTGCCTAACTATTGGGTTGTAACATCTATTCCCACCGTTTTTGTTGGGAGGTTTTACTGAAAACTACAACAGTCATAGCAACAAACTAATCAGTTACGTAGTCCCTGTCATTGTTTACGACCTGCTCTCACTTGATCATTTTATCATTAGCGTCACACCAGCACTGGCCGGTTTTTAACTTGGTTGCTAGGCCATTTTTAACATTGTCGTTATTGAATGTGACATCCGTCAACCGGTTTGGCAGCGAGCCGAAAAAATGATAATCTTTCAGCGAAAGACCCAGAAAATAAGGTAGATGTCCGAGAATCTCCCAATCGAGTTCTCGCATGACTGCTTTGACGAAATTTGCAACCTGGAGCAGAACGACTTGGCCTTATCGATCAACACTTTTCTTTATAATCTTCACACTGGGCAATTGGTCTACCTAAAGATTCTGATACTTCTCTTAGTGCACAACATCTCAATCCCACCATACACAGGCCTTTGATGGAGTCCTTGCCTAATTCTCGGCATTGACGTGTCACGTGAAGCCACTCTCTCCTTCCTATACTTTTCAGTAACATCCTCGAAACTACTAGAACGTCGGTGCGTTGTACCCGCCGATGCGGAGCACAACGAACTTTGCCTGTTTGTCCCTCAACAGCTGAAATCAAGCCTTAACTCTGAGTCTGAATCCTGGTGGTCAAAACGAGCTACTGGGATGGACGCCGCTGCATCGGCTGGAAACTTCCGCAGTTTACTTTGCCTCTTTAAGACCATTACAATGCACACACTGTCAGCCAGACAATTTTTGAGTCAGACGACACGAAAATCACCAACATGCAAACGCTTAGGTCGCTGGGCGGAGAACTTTGCTTTCTAATTTAACTATTCAGCACAGCTCACAGTGACATCTCCGTTTCCTTTTACTGGTGCTTAGCCTCTCCTCACAGGTCCACCTACCGAAAGCAGAGATCCGAAACGCAATCCAGCCTTTGAAGTGTCATTTAAGCTCTTGGCCCTGACAGCTTACCCGCGGCTCTATTTAACGATGGTAAGAATACACTCGTCAGTGAAATCCCTATCACTGTTCACAAAGGTTTGGATTGGCGAGAATGTTTCATTTGCACGAGGAGGATCGGCCATTGTCCCCATTCAAAAGAAAACTTCCTACCTAGATTGCGCCATGTAACGCGGAATTTCTTTGGTCTCTGTTGCGTCCAAGATTTTCGTATTTGCCCTGCTCCGTAAGCTTTCTACAACTAGAGACATGTTTTACCGAGAGGAACGAGCCCATTTTCGTCCAGGCGGAAGTTGCATCGACCAAATCTTTACATTCCGCCAACTTCTTGAACTCCATACCGTCCACTAGTGGCCGGCAACCGTAGTGTTCTTGTACATCCGAACGGAATTTGATTCAGAAGATAGATCGGTGTTGTGGAACTATCTACTAAGGAAAGGTGTGCCCGACAAGTTTGTAGTCATCCTGCGTGAACCATACATAATAATAATAATCAATACACGTTAATTGAGGGCGAAAAACACCCCAGTCAATTTGTCACAATACAAAGAAGCTACTATACT